TCCCCCCCCCCCCCCCCCCCCCAAAAAAAAAAATATATAAATCTACTCTTCAATGCTCATGACAAGTGAGTAGTAAGAATTTTGATATTTCTCAAAGAATAAAATTAATGCAGATAAAAAAGAAAACACAGTGACACGACCACAACTTGTTGGGAACAAAATCAATTATATCTATGACTAATTTTCAGTCTGAGTCTTACAACTTCAGGCATGCCTAGTGCGAGAAGCCTTGAAGCTCACGCCTTGAAAGTCATTTGCTAAGGTTTACTCCTCGACTTAATAATGTTTACGCCTCAGGATTTCTTATTACTTACCTCAGCCTTTTGAACTATTGGCAGTTCTTGTCTTTTTCATTTTCCTATTTCTACTATTACACGGAATTGGAAGGCAAAGGAAATGGGAAAGAAAAAGGCGCCATTGTAAGTGGAGAAGGATGAAAAGAATGAAGAAAAACATTGAGGACGACGAAAAGCAAATGAAATGTGTTAATAATTCTCCAAAAGGACATGATACTAGTAAAGATATGGGAGACTTTAGGCAGTTGCCACATCTGTGGTAATTTATATGATTGTCATGTGATTAATATTTGAAAACTCATTATTTATTATTTTAATAATCTCTTTTATGTTTGTTTATTCATTTCTTTTATTATGGATTCTCAATATGGATTATGGTTTCGTACGAGCATATCTTTGTATCTTTTTATTCTTTCCAATTACTTTGTTGGTTTATTTGAGACTTGTGCCCTATGATTCAGCTCACTTAACAGAGGTAAAATGCCTTGGTACAAATTCACCCTTTCTAAACGTCGGTATCCATATTATACAGATGCACATAAAATTCCAGGTTGATAATATACATACATCAATATTTGTTTGTAGCTCAGCATTGGCGCCAGGAGCAGGGATTGCCCTTGCTCGATCACGTTGACGTGTTTTCCTTACACCATCTGCACCGGCTTTACCAGCAACTCTTAGCCTACAATCATTAAAGTTGGGTAAGGATTTCAGGGATAATATAATTGCTCAGCCTTCTTGGCAGTACAAAATAAAATGTCCAAATGGAAAGAACATCAAAAACCACATGTTTACACATAAATTATCCAGTCTGAATAATTACTTCTTAAATTTGCTGTGCTAGGTTGTTAACTAATTTTTACCAATTATTGAAATTCGTTTATAATATTAAATGGCCCACACAGGCATCGTACATGCATATCATTCATGGCATTCGAAATCAAAGTCCTAATGTCATCCGAAAAGAAATCAATATGGAGTTACATTAGACTATAGGAATACGGTTATTTTGCAAACCTTCTAGCTTCTTCATCCCGACGCTTTGCATCAATCTCCTTACTCGGCGGATACTTTGGAAGGCTGGAAGGATCACATGAATAAGGCATGGTTGTGAAGAACTGCAAGAATGAACATAACAGATGTACAGATGACCAACCTTTAGCAAGTGATTAATAATAACAATCCTTGACAAAAACGTCTCCTATCGAAGACTTTGAATGGAAAGTGATCAGGTGCTGTGCTCGCTAGGCAAAATAAGTTAGACAAACTCATCCAGAAGTGCAAACAATAGAGAGACAGAAGAGTTCTCCAATCTTTTTTAAACACTAGCAAATTAGCAACGGTCTACATGGTTATAAAATAAAGAAGCCAGTTACCCTGAAGAAGGGTTCCTCTTCCTTTCTCGCTTATTTTTTATTTTACTTTACTTTATTTTTGAGGGAGGTTGGGCGCTGGTGGGATTAGATGGAGAGGGTCAACAAGGAAAAAAAAAGATAATTGTCTAAAAATACAGAAGTACAATAATCTTTAAAAACGACATCGGTCCAAGAGTATGAGAACTTACTTCACTCTTTAATGCAGCCGTTGCAGTTCGACGCTCAGCTGGATCAATTGCGAGGAGAGTATCGATTAATGGAAGGGACGACTGGGGAAAGTCTTTAAATGTCTCTGCTATGCATCTTTTATATGCTTGCTGGGGCTTGAATATGGTTGCATGTGGTAGCTTTGACTTTTTCCAATATTCTTCTGAAGGAGAACCACATAGCTTGAAAATCCTGTGCAGCTGTTCCACCTAAGAAATAATGGTACTCGATGATGTTATCGTTACAAGTTCAGTTCACACACACCGACACACGTGCTAACTCTGAACTGCAAATCGACAACTGAAAGATAAATTACACACAATTTAGTAAAAAGATGCATGCAACATATTTTATATTTATTCGTCTCGGGCTTAACCATTGTACATTTTGCAACCACATTAAGAAGACAATAAAAGTATAGGCCAACAAAATACAAAATCAATTTTTTTATAGTCTTTTGATCAAGCCAAACAACTGCCCACATGCTTGATGCACCTGCACTTAATTACAAAGATATTGTGGACCCTGAATTATACTACAGAATACTAATTGCCCAAAAAAAATAATAATAATAAATAAGTTAGGAAATTTATGTGTTTCGTTTTCTATTCTTATTGGAAGAATACAATGTTTCATTTTGACAACCAGGCTGGCAGAACCCTTTTTTTTTTTTTTTTTACGGCGGAGGAACTCGCAGTCGCTATCCTTCGGGTGCGCAATGAGTAAGCTCTCGGGATGACGCAATAGCCTGCAAACCACGCCAACCAAGTAAACCACACTAGGCAAGTCCTGCGCGACAGACTCGACCGAGAAAGTGTTGGTAGGAGGAATCGAACTCGTGACCAAAGACCTCCGTGCTCACCTACTCTACCAACTCTGCCACCCCCATGAGGGGCGGCTGGCAGAACCTTTAATTTTATGGACGGATGGTAAGAGAATGATTTAATTGAAACGAAAAGAGAACTTCAGTGANGACAGGAAACCAAGTCTGGGGGAAGAATTATGTCCGCTTGGCCAGAGCGTGATTAATAGCTCGGTGGCTCTGGTTTGGGTCATAGGTGCGGTAGAGGATCGTTCTCAGTCGGTAAACTCGGCTGGGATGGTCAAGCGGATGTCTGACAGACTAAACCACCCTTTTTTGTGCACTCTTCATTTTTCATAGGATGAATCTGGGTTGTAAATTGTTGGTGGCGGTGGTGATCAACATGAAGACATGGCAAGACTTTGAACCAAGAGCAAACTGTTTAGCGCAAAATAGTGATGCCTCGTATACAAACTTGCCGCATAGTGTACAATTGTAACGGACAAGATTTCGAATTTATTTATCTTGAATAAGTTGTTAGTCATTGTCAAATTTATCTTACTAAACACGTCATTCATGAGAATTTGTTAACAGACAAAGGCGAAAAAATATTTTCGTTCTCTTTACATTGATTAACAAAACATTGAGGGGCAAAGCACACATTGTTTCAATTGTAATTCCCAGTAAGTTCAATTACACTTCGATACACAAAGAAATCATGCAATGAAAGAAGTGTGTATGTTTTTTCTTCACTAGTGTCCTTGCAAAGAAACTTGAAGTGATGGGAGAGTTTAAAATGAAAAGATGTCAAGTTTATTATTTATGAATTAGGATTGATGTAACCGAGTCAATGTCAATTTTTTATTGGTTCCCAAGAAAAAAAAAACGAATTTCTAGTGAAAATAAGGTATCTTAAGCAAAAATCTTGTAACACGTCGCTAGTTTTCACTTTGCACGTCTTCGAATGGCCACTTCGAAAATTCTTCTTATTTATATCAATGGTGGGACATCTAGTTCAAGATAAAGAGTTTTTCTCAACATATAAAGACAAACCCTTTTCAAGAATTTTGTTTTTCCAATATTCTCTATTTTGAAAAACTAAATGCCAATCTAATTAATTATCTAGTTTGTTTTTCTTATGTTCAAGAAGAGATGTCACTTCTCATTCATAATAACCTGTTAAGTGTCCACGTCAAACATTCCACGCGCTAGGTGGATTTTTATTAATTAAAAATAAATACAAAAGTGAAGTTTGACTGGGCCGACACAAATGGAAGCTTAGTAAGAAGGTTCACCAGGAAATCCAACAGGGCCGGGTTGACTTGATGGCCCAACATGGCCCAATTGAGGTTCACCAGGAAATCCAATAGGGCCCGGCCGACTTCGTGGGCCAAAATGGCCCAGTGGACGACTTTGAAGTTCGGGAGGTTCGGGCCCCAAAATTGGGCCTGGATATTCAGGTGACCCGATAGGAGGCCCAAGATGATTGTGTCGACGACGTGGCCCCCCAAAACAGTCTTCTAAAAGCCAGCAACAACAGAAGACATAGAAGCTGTCCACGTGTAAAATTCATGGAAAAGAATTAAGTAAATAATTAATTAAGCAATTAGACATAATCCTATTCAATATATTTAACTCATAAATTCCATAAAAATGCTACAAAGAGTCGACTTAGGCCTAACATATATAATAGAAATAGGAGACTTTGCTATTTGTATACTGATTTTTAACATTTTGATTGATATTTGCATTGTTGTCAAATGTCAATTGGATAAAAAAATCTGTTTAAAATTTAAACTGTTCAATAGGATAATGCCACGTGGCAAAATATAATCATAGTGTACATGTAGCAAAATTCTTGTTCAATAGATAGATAGAAAGGCCTTTTTTTTTTTTAATTGAAATTAAAATTTTCACTCATTTTGAGGAGCCAACAAACGAATTGTACACAAAAATCACCGCTAGACTCGTTGAAAAGAAATTCATCTGAGTTTAGTCAAATTGAAATTGAACCTCACAGGAAAAGAGGAGAAATACTAACCAAGAAGAGATGATGGTGCACAAGTGACAAAGAAAACCCAACCGAGGAGGACTACTCGGCCCAAGGCTCCAACCTGGTCCTGGTCCGGGTCTACCGGGACCATTTGGCGGTCTAGGTATCCACATCTTCCCTCACTTCTATAAATTACCTCTCTCAAGTCACTTATCTGAGGTTTACTTGTCCATATATTTATACGAAGAGGGAAGTCGGGTTCGCGTAAGGGTTGGTATCAGCAAAGAAGTTTGTTTATCATGAGGGTGGATATGTATGTGACTGTGTGATATGGTTTAACACGTACACGTTTCAGAAAAAATTGTCCCTTTCACAAGTCATACAAGTAGATTTTATCTAAAATTGATGGCTATACTTGGTAATATTTTTATTTTATATTCTGTCAATCTATCCAATTCATTTCTATATATGACAAGAAAACTAAAATTTTAACAAGTACAACAAATTGAAATAATGTTATGTACAGTCACTCTATGTGATATACATATGACATTTAGTAATTTAATATAGAATAATGCTATTCATAATTGTTTACCATTGTAATCGCCCTACATGACATTTTAAATAGTGGTTTGTGATTTAATATATTAATGTGATAGTTTTTCCTTTTTCTTACTATATATATCAAATCACTAACCATCACTTACGACGACTGCGGTAGTGAGTGACTACAAATAGCATTATTCTTTAGAATATGATGTAAAAAAAAAATACCACATTAATACATCAAATCCCAAACCATCATGTAAAATATCATGTAGAACAACTACCGCAATGAACAACTATGAATAACATTACTCAACGAATTATGCTAATTTTAATCTATCATATTCCCTTCTAATTTGGTATTTTAAAATTGCGTCGCTCTTATTAACACATAGGAAAGTTGTTACAGAAAAATTATCCCAAACAATTTGTCTTTCACTTTATTCAATTTGGGTCGCCTTCAACGGATGCAATAACCGAGTGCATTTGGCATGAACAATGGTCGCCTTCAACGGATTACCTAATGGTTTACCGAATTGACAAGTGGCGGCCTCCTACTGTCACCCCTCCAATAGGGGGCCAGTAGGGGGCCGCCACTTGTCAATTTGGAAAACCATTTGGTACTTGTAGCATAACCCTTTAAACAAAGTAACTATATCTCAGAGTATACGTACAAAATCAGTCTTTCGTACAAAACATAACCTAACTGTACAATGGGTAGGAACTGAAGTTATCATATCAAAGATAAAAATGGATAACAGAAGTGAATGCCAAATATACGTTCCACAGATACAAACTGTAACAAATCTAAGTTACAAAAATCGAATAAAACAAAGAAAGATTTATGAATGATCATTTTTTTTCGCGAGTTGAAAGCTGTCAATGCAAGGAAGAAAGAATTTAAACATTTGCAACTCAAGAAAATATTCATATGACCCCAAAAAATAAGAACAAGGAATGTTGAAGAAAAGATGAATTACCTCTCAATCGTTCAATAACATTTCCCGGCTCAGATACAAGACACGAATTTGCAAGAGTTTGCGCCTCCCTCCATGTGTTGATCCGGCTGAAGTATAGAATTAACTCTATATTATACGATTTCTTTCTCCTTATTCCGACTAGAATCTTTATCTTTTCGAGAATCCTTCTTTGATGGCTTCGATTTTCTTCTTGGAGCGCCTAAAGCATCAGATTCCACCAATGGGCCCGACCAAGTTTGCATGGGCTCTTTTGCATAAGACAAATTCATGGAAGTGAATGGGACATCGGGAGGATCAAAGCCGGGGTCAATGTGATGTGAAGATCCCAGAGGATAACCAAGTCCTCCATCCCGGTGTGGAGGAGGAAATTTTTCGCTTTTGCTCTTTGCATTTGCATGCGTAATTAGTCGTCGTCTCTGTTTAAAGGGATAAACATAAGTTAATCCGACATTCATAAAAAACAGATTATGACTCTCAAATCAAGAAACTTGTAAAATTATAAATTTATCTTTCAAGATGACCCACACATACACAAAAAAGCAAAGAGAGAAAAAAAAAAAAAAAAAAAAAAAAAAG